CATCTTGAGGAATTTTCTTGAGCTTTCCCCTAGATGCATTGATGGCTGGCTAATACAATTTCCCATCGACTTAATTCGGACTGTTTCTTTCACTACCCTTTTTATCTCATTTTCCTCTCGATGTATTACCTCCGTTTCCGACCAAAACACCTTACAATTATAGTTTTGTTTAACCCGAGACTGGGGTATTTCGGAAAAGGGACGAGAAGAAAAGAGGCCACAAGGAGGCGACGTCTCAAACACAGCTAAGGATTTTATTCCATCGTATGCACTTTTATACACACCACGTCCACACACCACCAACCAAGTCGACCAATGACAACATAACATCCGGAATACACTAAGCCAAACATAGGCCCAAAACATTACAAAAGAAAAATCTTTCAGCCAGACAAAAGGACAAGATAAGCCTCCGACTACACAAAGTCAACAAAGTATCGTTAAAAGGTTTTTTCAAACCCGCAAACACACGGAACCAAAGGGAAAGAGGGCATACAAGACCTAATTACACAAAGCCAAGCAACAAACCATTAAACTAGCCGGTACTTAGTCACCGGAAAGATAAAAAAAAAAAGAAACAAAAAACGGCAACCGGTTATTCTAAGCCGCACTACACATTGAAGGAAAGCGGAAGAGGGTAACCATGAACCAAAATACACAAAGGGGAGAATGCAAAAGTTCCAACCTCAACTACACACTTGAAAGAGGTAATAAGGAATACCAGAACAAACAATATGTCCTGCACCTGTACTGCATCTTTGTAGGCAGCGCACAAAGTGCTGGATAGCTAAAAAACAAAAACAAAAAAAAAACAAAAAAAACGGGGGGTTTACATCTTGAGGAATTTTCTTGAGCTTTCTCCTAGATGCATTGATGGCTGGCTAATACAGTTTCCCATCGACTTAATTCGGACTGTTTCCTTCACTACCCTTTTTATCTCATTTTCCTCTCGATGTATTACCTCCGTTTCCGACCAAAACACCTTACGATTGTTGCACTCAGACACGTGCTTGGCGATCTCCGAGTTCGGTGCCCCGTTTTTTACATTTCTTTTATGCTCGGTCAGTCTGTCATTCACGCACCGCGAAGTTTTCCGAATTACTCCTTTTCCGAATTACCCCAGTCTCGGGTTAAAAAAAACTATGGTTAACTTCCACCAGCTCGCCTGCACCCTTACAATTTTTTCACTTTCAAATTTACATCTGGTGGATGGTGGGAAAGTTCTCGTGACATCACTTGTGGCATAGGAGCAGCGCCGCTCTGCGGCAATACGGCGTGCCGGCAGAATTAGCCTAGGCCTGAACGCGTTTGCAAAGCCTTGGCGGAGAAAGCCAAAGCGTAGTTGGCCACAGTGAGCTCGTAACTCAGGGTTACCAGATTGGGCTATTAATAGCCAAATTGGGCTACTTTTTTTTGTATTTGGCGTCAAAATGTGGCGGTTGGCTATGTGGCTATTTTTGGGCTATTTCAAATCATGACGGAGAAAAATAATTCAACATGACAAACATTGAGACGACACGAAGACACAGAGGTCTCTACTATTTATTTTTCTTGTGCTTGCTTTAGGGTAGAGAGATAAAAGATTCTTTAGGATGGACACAAATCAACAGTCCATTTTTTACGGATTCCTGCTTTCAAGGTTTTCTGTGAAGATGCGTAGGCATGACGTCAGGACTACGGCTTTGACCTAGATTCAGTTCTCGGCCATGGAGTCCGAGTACAGGCTTCTCCAGACGCATATCAGAGATCTGTCTGATGATTGTTTAGAGCTATTTTGGAAAAATGTAAGGGAGGCAAGAAACAGCTCTGGGGCAGCCATGTTCCCGTTGCTCTCTGCGCTTGGCACCGCGCTTTTGACACTACCCATGTCAAATGCCGCCGTTGAGAGGGTGTTTAGTCAGGTGTCCCTCACGAAGTCGGACCTCAGAAACAGATTGTCCCATTCGACCCTGGAAAGCATCCTGTTTGTGAAGTTCGCATTCCTTGGGAAGAAAGAGTGCTGCAAGGACTTCAAGCCCACAGAAGAATTTTTTCTGCGCTTCAACTCGCAACTGATGTATGAGGTCAGCCAGCCCTGCACGAGCAATTGTTAACTCTATGTGACTGTACAAACGCGTGTCAATACTTAAAAATGCCGATACTTCTTTGTGTGTGTTTTTCCAATAAAATGTTTCATATACATTTCAAGATGTTGCTGTTCTTGGAAGCTTCTTCTACACAATATATGCAGATGCAGTTCCGGCTCCAGTTCCTACTTGCGAGAGCATAATTTTAAATTTTGTGGACCCTGACACTCAGCTGGATTTTGGCTACTTTTTGGCTATACAAATTTTTTGCATTTGGCTACTTTTGGGCTGTACCGTTTGGCATTTTGGCGGTTTGAGCTAAACCTACCTGGCAACCCTGAGCTCGTTCTCGTTGCGGCTCTTTGCGCGACACGACCCGAGCATGCTTCTGGCACGGCCGGTATTAGTTGCTGCGAGTCGCGAGCTGCGAGCCGACGTTAAAATTTATATGTTTGAACTACGAGTGCCAGAAGGAGCCACGCAAATACCTGTTCACATTCGGAGCGGACACGCGCGTTTGATCAAAGTGCTGGATTCGCTCTGTTAGACCGCGTTTCGGTAAGCACTTCTGCACCGATCTTTTACGATTGCAACTCGATACTGACATGACACTCGGCAAAGAAAGGTTGGACCGACATCGCGTAGCTCCAACGAACTGCTATACCTCGACAGTGACCGTCGCGTCAGAATAAAAATGGCATACTAATAACAAAGTGTACATACCGTGTTGCGAAGGTGATCCGTATGGCGTTTATTTGAGCTTTATATCACACAAAACAAGAAGACAGAATCAATGAGAGTCCCTTTTCGACGACAGCGTTCGTCACCGCTGTCTCGGAAAACAAGGAGATCGAAATGACAAGGGTCGCGCGGGCATATTCCATTCAGCAGGCCAGCCGGTCATGGGCAGACGGTCTTGGCCAAGGACCGCCGGAGCAACGGTGCGCCGAGTCGGTGTCGCTGCTAGGCCTATACTGTATTCTGCCGAGCTCGCTTGGTCGGTAGAATCGTGGTCTTTGTAGCTCTTCTCGGGTGTTTGTGGATCCTGCGTTCTTGATCGTCGTGGTCTGTTTCAAGTGCTCCTTCCTTTTTTCTTGCTGGTTGAAGTCGGGACGCACGAGAAGAGCACGTAGAAAAATAAATGTCCGTTGGTCGTCGCTACCAAGTAACTGAGCGACGCTGTCGGCCATGTTGATTTGATCGTAAAAAGTGCGTAAGACAGCCTCGGAGCTGTCGAAGGATTCTGTCGTAACCTGCGCAAAAGTTTCGACAATTTCGTTTCGAGAAAACGGGTTTTCTCTCAAATTTGTCGTACGCACTTTTTTCGTCGTGAGTTCGCTTTGAGCATCCGGCCTCAGAGCTGGTTTTGTCAGTGGTGCCGTGGTTGCCGACTTGGCGTGGTGCAGCGTGCGTGCCGCCCTTGCGCATCTCAAACAGCCACGTTGTCACAGGCCGTAAATCGTCGACGCGCCACCAAGTGGCAACGCTCGTAACCACAACATCCACGCCGTAGCCTTTCCCTTCTGGCACAAGTGACGTCACGAATGCGCCCAATATCCCAAGACGCATCGCGCTCTCCGATTGCTGATTTTTGAGCGCGCGCCCAATCGGTCCCATCAGGGTGAAAAATATAGCCATCCGTTCAAAATACAAAGGCGCGATTATGATTTACGGATATCATTTATCATATTGAACCTATTTCTGACCATAATATATGTATTTCAAGTTTCGCTTCAGTATCCCTTTAAATTACGATATTTTCCACGTGCCGTGTCTATTAACAGCTAAGGCCGTTGGGTATTCACATCCCCGGGACGCCTGCCTGAGTACTTTTAATATTCTGTCTAGATCGTCATCGTCATCATCAGGCAACCACTTCCGCCTACAACCGCAAAAAAGACAAGCTTGTTAACTCCGAGACTCTCTCAAAACTTTTGGATTTAATACTAAACTTTAATAATTTCGAATTTGACGACAACCATTATCTTCAAACTAATGGCACAGCAATGGGTACCAAAATGGCACCAAACTACGCGAACGTATTGATGGGAGTTTTGGAGGACAGCTTCTTGGGACAATGCGCGCTAAACCCTCTCTTGTACAAACGATATATTGACGACATATTTATAATTTGGCAGCACGGCCTTAGCGATCTACTTTGTTTCATTGAAAATTTTAACCAGTTTCATCCTACTGTAAAATTCACAAGCTCTTACTCCCTCACAAGTATCAACTTCTTGGATGTCTCTGTTAAACTTGTATTAAGCATTACACTCTTCCGAAAACCAACCGATTCACAGCAATATCTCTCGTACAAAAGCTCGCACCCCCGACATTCCAAAACAGCCATCCCTTATAGTCAAGCCCTCCGATGCCGCCAAATCTGTTCAAACGATGACGAACTAGATAGAAATTTAAAACAACTCAGGGAGGCGTTCCGGGGACGTGAATACCCAACGGCCTTAGTTGATAACGCGATAGACAAGGCACGCGCAAAAGATCGTAATTTAATACTCTCTCTGGGCACCACGCGAAATACCCTCAAAAATCTTGTGAACCTCACACTTACCTACAGTAATAACCTCCCAGCCATCCGCTCGATCTTAAGGAAACATCAGTACTTGATAGAGCAATCGACTAAACTTAAAGAAATATTCCCCGACGCGCCCAGAGCGGTGTGGCTCTGAGATGTGGTAGTAACTAAAGAGCTGGGGATGTCATGGATGAAATGTTGCATGTAGCCGCTCAACGTCTATGTCAAGGAAGCCAAGCCAAGCAAAAGACACTGGACTGTCGAGAAAGCCAAGCCGAGCTAAAACCACAGACGCAGAGATCCAGCCATGGCGTAGCCAGCGTAGCATCATGTAATCCGCTCTCTAATCGAATCAATAAACATCGTTTTCCGACATGGTAACAGAAGCGGGATCTACTAAGAAGAAGAAAGAAGAACCTCAGCAGAAACGATACAGCCACTGATTCGAGCGACGGAGCGAAGACGCCGTTAAAACAAGACAAACAAGCCGACGCACGTGAGCGCCGATTCCGAAACTATGGAAGGTAGTCTAAAGACGCCGAGGCCTCTTGATCTGTCGTCGCAGTCGCCAGACACCTGGGACGACTGGCTTCAGAGCTATGAATGGTACGCAACAGTGATCCAGTTACAGAAGAAACCTCCCGAAGTTCGAGTAGCGAACTTCATGACTGTCATCGGCCCAGACGCACAGAACGTGTTCCGAACGCTCCCACTGAGCGAAGACGACAAGAAAAACCTGGACATCGTAAAGCAACGGTTCAAAGAGCACTTCCACCCGAGGGTCAACCATGCCTACGAACGGTACAGGTTCAATCAAATGAAGCAGAAAGAGGTCGAGACTTTCAACGAGTTTCTGACCGCCGCAAGACTACAAGCAAAGAAATGCAAGTTCGGTGAGCTGACTGACGAACTACTACGCGATCGCATTATCGTTGGCATCACCAACGACGATGTCAGAGAAAGACTGCTAAGCGACCCGACTGTCGACCTGCAGAAAGCCCTGAATCTCTGCAAGGCGAGCGAACAGGCGTCACAGCAGCTCAAAGAAATCGCAAACAAAGAAACGAGGACTGTCCACGCCGTCACAAGAAGACAAAGCAGCTACCGAGAAAGAAGACTGTCGTGGAGACGAAAGAGCAAGCGCCGGCGAATTCGGGAATGGCAAGAAAAGCATGCAGCTTCTGTGGAGGATTTCACAGACCAAAAGAATGTCCAGCGTATGGCAAGACGTGTAACAAGTGCCAAAAGAAAGGACACTTTGCTGCAGTGTGCCGATCAAGCAGAAGTATGTTGCAACACAAGGTCCATGCCATCGACAACCGCGGAGACCCTGAAGAAGAAATGTATGTGTCGGAGCTGAGAACCAAGACAAGCAAGACAGTGTGGCAAAGAAGAAATCCAGTTCAAGTGTGGAACTAAAGTTGTCATGAAACTGGACACAGGAGCGCAATGCAACGTCCTCCCAAACGAGAACGTCCAAGCCATGAGACTACAAATGTTTCCTTCGCCAGTCAAAAGAATCGCAACATACAGCAATCACAAGATGCAAGTGATCGGTGAGGTGAGAGAAACATGCACTGTCCGTGATGAGCCGGCGAAACTGAAATTCCTCGTCGTGAACTCTGACGTGACACCAGTTCTGGGTCAGAACGCATGCGAGCTCCTCAACCTCGTGAAGAGAGTGCACACAGTCTAACCAACGCAAGAAGATGACGAAATATTTCAAGGCATCGGTTGCATCAAGAACTTTGTCTATGATGCCGATGTCAAAGAGGAAGCAAGCAAGAAGCTGGAAAACAAGCCACCAAGAAGGGTCCCATATGCACTTATGGAGGAAGTCAAGCAAGAGCTCACGAGCATGGAACAGAAAGGAATCGTCGAAAAAATCACAGAACCAACTCCATTCTGCAGTGAAATGGTTGTTGTGAAGCAGCGAGGAAAGATCAGGATCTGCATCGATCCAGTGGAACTGAACAAAGTTTTCATAAGACGAAACTATCCTCTCAAGACTTTGGAAGAAATTGTTGCGCATGTCAGAGGATCCAAGCGGTTCACTCTGCTAGACCTCAAGAAAGGATTTTGGCAAATGCAAGTGTCAGAGCGCACCAAAAAGTATCTAGCCTTCAGCACTCCGTGGGGCAGGTACTGCTTTAAGAGAGTTCCATTTGGCATAGCCACAGCACCGGAAGTGTTTCAACAAGTCATCAGCAGAATCCTGGAAGGGATTCCGAACGCCGTCAACTCCATGGACGACATCCTGGTGTATGCCGAAACAAGCCGAACAGCTGCAAGAAACTACAAAGAAGGTCATGGATACTCTGAAAGAAGCTGGCACTAAACTCAACAAAGACAAGCGTGTCTTTGACAAGCCTGCAGTCAAGTTTCTTAGTCACGAAATCACTGCAGAAGGACTTAAGATCGACCGAGAAAAAGTAGCCGCCATCGACCAGTTAAATGAACCAAAGAACAAGACCGAGCTACAGAGACTGCTAGGGATGATCCAGTACCTCCAGAAGTTCGTGTCCAACCTTGCGGACAAGACTGCACCACTGAGAAAGCTCATCACTAAGGACACTGAGTACCTGTGGACAGAGGAACAGAGCAAGCCGCTGACCGAAATCAAGCAAGCGCTGAAGAGTGCACCAACACTCGCATACTACAACATTAATGGTGCTATGACCCTTTCAGTGGACGCAAGCTCAAAAGCCCTAGGAGCTGTTCTCCTGCAAGAAGGAAAGCCTGTTGCCTACGCCTCCGCAGCAATGACGGAAGCACAACAGAACTACCCTCAGATCGAGAAGGAGGCACTAGCGATCCGATACGGCTGCCGGAAATTTCACCAGTATATCTATGGAAGACCTCTAACCATCGAGATTGACCACAAGCCGATCGAGAGCATCGCAAAGAAGCCGCTGAGCAAAGCCCCTCCTCGACTACAAAGACGTCTCTTTGACGTACAGCAGTACGCACCAATAATCGTCTACAAAGAAGGAACAGAACTCGTGATCGCAGATTCACTGAGCAGAGACTGCATCAAGAACGAGTCGGCAGGTGCCTATACAGATGACATGCAAGTGATGGGAATTGTACCCATGTCACCTGAAACAATGGAAGAACTAAAGAGGGACATTGCCCAAGACAAAGAAATCCAAGAAGTGATCCAAGCCACGAAAGAAGGATGGCCAAGCACCACAAGAGGGCTCAGTGACCCAATGAAGCTGTATTGGTCATTTAGGGATGAACTCGCTGTGTATGAAGACATGTTGTTCAGAAGCGATCGGATAGTCATTCCGAAGACTTGGAGAAACAGACTGCTCGTCCAGATCCACGCGGGACATCAAGGCATAAACAGCTGTCTAAAGAGAGCCCGCGAGACTGTATACTGGCCAGGGCTAACGACAGATATCAAATGCTACGTGGAAAGATGCGCCACATGCCAAGCAACTGACAAGAAACCAGCGAGAGAGCCACTTCATCTCAAAGAAATACCAGACCTCCCGTAAGAAAGAGTAGCATCAGATCTCTTCAACTTCGAAGGAAAATCCTACGTTGTCATTGTCGACAGCTACTCTGGATACCTAGACTTCAAGAAGCTCTCAGGAGAATCGTCAAAAGAAGTTGTAAACGTCATGAAAGAGTGGCTAGCAACTCATGGCGTCCCCAAAGTGATTGAAACAGACAACGGTCCCTGCTACGCAGCACAAGAATTCAAGAACTTTAGCAGAGACTGGGGCTTCCAACACGTGACTTCAAGTCCGAGGTATGCGCAGTCAAACGGTCTTGCTGAACGAGCCGTTCAGACTGCAAAAGGGATTCTCCGAAAATGCTCTCTGGATGGAAGCGACATACAAATGGCCCTCCTCAGTTTCAGAAACACGCCAAGGAGTGAAGAACTGGGTTCACCTGCACAAAGACTGTACAGCAGGAGGACAAGAACTCCAGTTCCCACACACAACAAGCTACTAAAGCCCGAAATAATCCAAAGCGTGCCGGACAAGCTGCGTCACGAGCGCAACCAGCAGAAGGCTTACGCTGACCAGCACTCCAAACGAGCCCCTGCCATGGCCCCAGGCGATACAGTCAAAGTTTGGGAAGAAAACAGGAGATGGGTTCCTGGAACAGTCGTATACGTCTTTCGGAAGAACCTCGGTCTGTGATAGTACAGACGCCAAAGGGATAGTACCGTCGCAATACGTCCTTTGTTCGTCCGACTAAGGCTGAGATACGCTATGCTGCAAAAACTCATACTACCAGCATCGAGCCATATGCGCCACAGCCTGTGACCGACAGCCGAGTGTGCCCCAGCTCCCAGCGAGAGAACCCGGCAGACTCAACCACCGTTACCAAATGAGGTCGCATAATCAAACCAGTCGTCAGGCTTGATCTCTAAAGAAAAAAAAGGGGGATGTCAAGGAAGCCAAGCCAAGCAAAAGACACTGGACTGTCGAGAAAGCCAAGCCGAACTAAAGCCACAGACGCAGAGATCCAGCCATGGCGTAGCCAGCGTAGCATCATGTAATCCGCTCTCTAATCGAATCAATAAACATCGTTTTCTGACAGTCTATACAGGAGAGGGCGCTGCGGTCAATTGCGTATATAATCGCGTTAAACTTTGCATGCATTGACTCAACGTTTATAGACGAGAGGACGTTGCGGTCAAATGCTCAAATGCGTACATAACCACGTTTCATACCACACATTCTCTTTCTGACATGGATAAAAACGAACGAAAGGCTCGGCATGCTGCGGCTCAGCGTCTACGCAGACAAGCACCCACCAGAGCTTCGCCCCAATCAACATCATTCACCCAACACCACCTAGACAGAAGGCCTCCGCATGGTTTCTTTTTCCTCTATGAAACGTCATCACAGTCGGATCGCGCTCGGTCGGCTATTGGACCCGAGCCCGACCTTCGACGCGCTGATTGGCCACGAGCCGCAGCCGAACATTGACGCAGAACTCGTGCCCAATCTCTCGCCTCGATCGATCCGACTATGATGACGCGTGTGGAGGCCTGCTGTCCAGGTGGTGTTGCATTCACCACGTGGAGATGCGGACAATTTGTGTGTTACCTTCCACTGTGAGAACCAGAGAATGCAGAGAGCAAGTCGTCTGCTTCTTGCGGAGGGGTTGCGGGGTCGTCAGAACGACGCCGAGTTCTTATTGGCTTCGATTGGAAGCATAGTGGGTAGACCTCAATGCTAGATGCCTTCACGTCTACCCACTATTTTTTTTTTTTTTTAGAGCGCAGCTCTAGGCGCTTGTTTCCGGCTTGAGCGGCGTCGCCGTCGGCGTAACCGCGCGATGCATTTTGAGACGTTTCTTATGATGACGTCTCACGTGACGACACGTGTAACGTCACGAGGGTCACCAGTGACGTCACTCGTGACGTCACCGTGAGTTGCATTATGGGTAAATTACCCTGCTAAATTTTGCGAAAAAAATTCCCCTCTAAATTTAGCGGAAAAATTCCCTGTTAATTATAGCGGAAAATATTCCCCGCTAAATTTAGCGGAAAACTTTTCCCGCTAAATTTAGCGAAAAAATTCCTCGCTAATTATAGCGGAAAATTTTCCCCGCTAAATTTAGCTGAAAATTTTCTGGCTAAATTTAGCGAAAAAATTTCCCGCTAAATTTAACGGAAAAATTTCCTTGCTAATAGGGAGTTTTCGTAGATCGTTTTCGCCGTCCCGCAAGGCCCTCCGCAATCCGCTACGATAGCGGGAACTCCACAGTCAAGGCTATCGGCGCGCAGGCGCAGTAGCAACTTCTTCGTTGCGGAACGCTTAGCGGAGGGGACAACGCGGTCTACGAAAACTCCCTAATGTCAGTCAAAAAAATTTCCGCTAGCGGAAAAAAATTTCCGTTAAATTTAGGGGGAAAATTTTTCTGTTAGATTTAGCGGAAAATTTTGCGAACATTTCCCGCTAAATGGGAGGCGAGCAGGAGAGGAGGGAAGGGTATGGAAGAGGA